GGGTGAATTATTAAAGCAGAAGTCTCCTAGATTTCTCTGAGTTTTCCCCCTCAAATATATCACTCTAGAAATATAGCCAGCCACTGGCCACCTTTCTGTTCTCCCTATCCTTAAAATGGTCATGAGAGGGAAACAGTAGAAACAGAAAAGTACATCACACATATCAGGAGTGGAGGAAAAAGGAATCTATGCCTGGTGGACCTTTATGCCTCAGAGGTATGATGCAAAATTTCTGTTTGTATTTCCCTTGGCCCTATAAGAGATCTTTATATCAAGGCTTTCCCTGCTTTCTCATACAGATGCATTGAGTGAGGTCATTGAAGCCATCTTCCTCAGTGGCTATTCACAAGGTACACAACTTGTTTCTGCAAGAGGCTGGCTTTCTCTCTGCCTTCCTTCACCCAGTAGCCAAACACCTGTTTGTTCATAAAGTCTTTTGTAAACTAACTGTGAACTGTAAAAGAGGGCTGGTATACCTTTGAGGGAACTCTTGAGGACTGTTGTACTTTTGTCCGCTTTGAATCCCTTCCATGGGAGAAAAGCAAGAGAAAGTAAATAATTTATTGTTGTTGTTGTTGTTGTTGTTATTTGACTGACACAAAACACAGTATGTCACAGCAAACGAGATATATATGCTAGATTTTGTATCACAAAATCACAAGTCGAACACTTTACAAGCGTCTGGAACTATGTGATGTATTTTTGAATGATGTACGCAGATCCAAGTAATAAACATTGACAAAATCATGATCTGTCAACTGCCTTTTGAAGTTGACAGTTCATGATTTTGTCAATGTTTATTGTTTCCAAATGCCTGCTGAGATCATTTGGCATGGCACCCAGTGTGCCGATGACCACTGGGACCACCTGTACTGGTTTATGCCAGAGTCTTTGAAGTTCGATTTTGAGGTCCTGATAAGTTTTTCCTATTGTTTTTCCTCAATGCGACTGTCACCCGGTATGGCGACATCAATAATCCAAACTTTTTCTTTTCTACAATTGTGATGTCAAGTGTAGTGTGTTGCAAAACTTTGTCAGTCTGAATTTGAAAGTCCCACAGTATTTTTGTGTGTCCATTTTCCACGACCTTTGCAGCTTTATGATCCCACCAATTCTTTACTGCTGGCAGGTGATACTTGTGACATAAGTTCCAGTGAATCATTTGGGCCACAGAGTTGTGTCTCTGTTTGTTATCTGTTTGTGCAATTTTCTTGCATTCTTCTTCTTCTTCTTCTTCTTCTTCTTCTTCTTCTTATTATTATTATTATTATTATTATTATCCCCTTTTCTTGTTAGGTTTTTAATCAACTGATTTGTTTTTACCTCCATTCTATTTTAATGCTTCCTGTATGCTGCCTTAGGACTTGTCTATACTGGTGAGATGAAAACTATCTAGACAATGGCTCCAGCTGTTACATGGACATGTTGAATCTAGGACTATTCTGGGACAGATTTACATTGGACTAAACTGCCTGGTGAAGATGACTACTTAGTTCCTGCATTGGGGGAGAAGCAGGATATTACATATAGATACACACATACTGTCAGACCTGGAAGAAAAAATATACTAGTTAAGAGTTACTTCAGTGTCTGCAAAGTAACAGTTAACATTCTGCAAGATATTTACAGATGGCATAATCCATTTGCACAAGAGGAATCATTTTCCTGTCCAAACAGATTAGTGTAACATGCAACACATCATGATTGGTCTAGTCTAAATATTTTTGCACAGCATCTATAGCATGATGTGTAACACACCCCACAGACATAGCTGGACAGAGAAGAGAAGAGGTATTCTATGCAGAAACATCTCTTTCAAGTACCCGTCCGTCACCTGCTATTTATCATTAATGAGCAACTGGTGCTATGGTACACCCAAGTAATTTGTAATAGGCTAATAAAGATTTTCACTTGGCAAATTGTCATGACAACATTAATTAAACTTCTTTCACGTCACTATAGGACTATTGTCTTCCTGATCTGTATCTCCTTTAGAAAAGCAGAAAGAGCTCATCACCATTGCCTAAGACTATTCATTCCATTATCTAATTGTGCAACAAAGAAGTTAAGATAAGAACTGCATACAAAAGATAGAGAATCCATGTTGGCCTATGCCGACTTAGGAGGTGACAATGTTGGCTCAGTGGTAATACCCAAGGCTAATGGTTTGGAGGATTCCAGTTTGATGTCAGAGCAGACCCAGTTCAAGGATGTCAAATGAAACCAGAGTGAGAAACATGTATTGACCAGGAATTCCTCAAAGACTTCTTGGCATACCTGGACTTTCTCTTCTGTCAAGAGAAATTTTAGGTTCACTTCATTTAGCAAGAAACAAGAGATAAAATATAAGCAAACTCTTGTCATTTTATCTCCTCCCCCAAAAGTGCCACTATAGACAGTCCCCGAGTTTCAAACATCCAACTTACAAATGATTCCTAGGTAATAACGGGGATGAGACAACAACTACCCCTAGGAAGGGAAATTCACTCCTGAAAGAGTTATCCATAGAGAAAAGGTGTCTCAACTGAAGCTTTCTCACCATCCATGTTTTCACAACAAGCAAAATTTTTCAAAATCCAGTTATTACTGGAACAGAAAGTGAGGTGAAATCCTCTGAACAGGGCACAGATAGCAAAACAAACGGTACAGGGATGTTAACCCTTCCCTATGCTATCCAAAGCTCGTGTGTGTGCGTGTGTGTGTATGTATGTGTGTGTGTATGTATGTGTATATATATATATATATATGTGTGTGTGTGTGTGTGTGTGTGTGCGTATGTATGTGTATCTGTGTGTATATACATACATATGGCTGGAGTTAATTTTTTTAAATGGACCTGTTCTGACTTACATACAAATTCAACAAGAACAAACATACAGAACATATCTTGTTTGTAACTTGGGGGCTGCCTGTACTATTAACACAATGGCATGCAAGTCATTTAATACTTGTACTTTGTGTGGAACTTCAAGAATGAAAGCCAAGATGTAATGTCTCAATGATTACAGATTCTGAGCAATCTTAACATGCAACACACACTCTCTTTTTTTAAAGTATTATCTAAGTCAATTCCTAGCCAAGTCAATTAACTTTGGTTCAAATTCCACATGTTTGATACTCACAGGGTGGCATTCCTGAAAGGATTCCACAACTATTCTTTTTAATCTAGTTTTTCCTTGATGAAGAACTAATGAAATGTAAACCAAATATGCCTGTTTATAATTATTACATTTCTATTAACAAAGCTATCTATCCAAAGTCTCACAGATGAATCTGAACACAGAATCTTGGTCAGAGGTTTGTACTCTGTATCATTACAAGACCTAGTTCATCATCATTTTTGCACGTGCACAGACACACACAGAACAAGTTCACATAGCAACTGGTTCTGGATCATATCTTCAAAAATCAAGCTAATGTGCCAGGTATGTTGATATGTCAAGCATAGACATGATGATTTATATGAAAGAGTTCTTAGCATATCCATGTTAAACTTCCATATAGGCCTAAGGAAGCATACACCCTCATGTCCAACATTTCTTTCAGGGGTGGACAAATTGCAACCATATCAAGGTTGTTTTAGAAGTCCCTGAGCTCTCCAAATCTCCTGGACTGCTTTTTTTTTTTTTGGAGCTATTTTTTAAATGAAGTGCTTCTCCTATAAGACTCATCATTAAAGATATTGCCAGGGGATGCACTGTTCTTAACATTTTAAAATGCCCAATTTTCTTGTCTGTAATTTGCACAGCCTGGTATGCATTCAGATTAGAAACCCCATTGGGAAGGCATGAATTACTCCACAGAAACTGACTTGTTGAAAGAACCTGAAGTCTGATTAACACAGTTTGATAACACCACAGACCTTACATACTTAGGTAATAGTTGCCGGTCCCCTGATTACTATATAGTTCCCATGTCTTGTGTGCTCCCCTCAATCTTACTATTTTATTTGCACCCACATTTGGCCTTTCCCGCATCCAAACAGATACATTGGATGGACTATGGTACTTCTGTCTTGCACCCAATTCTGATCTTATAACAGACCCAGTGAAGAAGGCCAACCTGAGATTATAACAGGACAAAAGTTCATCCAGTAAATTTCATTACTTAAGTTGTTTCACAATCTGAGACTCATATATAAGTCAGCATTTGAACCAATAATGGAAGACACGTCTGTCTCTCAGTAACCAATCTGGCTAGTTATTGCTCATTCTTTTCCAGATAATTGCGATTTCTTCAGACACTGAAAGAACTTACTGGCACTTAGGATCATCCAGTGGACAACTAAGTACATTTTGCATCAGATGATGAACTTGTTGATACATGCAAGTGACTGCTAACAATGACTAAAGAACTGTACACTATCAAACTGTATACTGTTCCTGAATATTATTCATTCCAGTATTATTACCTACATTAATGACTGCTCACTGACAAAGATTTTTGTGAAACTCAACCACTTCTGAACTTTAAGCCACCCGGGTGACCTGATCATTGTCTCTGAAAAATACATCTTGACCTGATCATTGTCTCTGAAAAATGCAAATGCACTGGGCTGAATTTACAAGTTTACATCACCTATTATACAATCTTTTAACAGCCAATCATTTGCAAAAAGATTAAAAGCTCTGTTTCTCCGTCGTTGTTTAAACTATTGAGAGCTCAGCCCACATGAGTTAAACCAAATCCGAGGTAAAGTAGAAAACCATCAACAACACCACTCTATTGAGAATTAGAGACAAATCTCAAAAAAATGAAAGAGCACCTTGGACAGGAAACTTACTTTCCTATTGCTTATACAATGAGATCACAGTACAATTTATTATTAAAAGTGACCCTTGCTTTCCTTAAATATTTAAATGCAATGGCATTTCACAGCTTTTAGCACACCAAAAGCTTTGTAGAGTTCTGTCATTGGTTACGTGTGAGCTTGTTTACAAAAATACAAACAAAGAACCTGATGTTTGACACCTACAAGTAGAAGTTCAAAGTTTACTAACCTTGTGCCCCCTGGGAAGTAGCTGCCCCATGGTCCTGTCATTTTGCACCCTTTCCAAGACTCAACTCTTCTTCTGTGTTGGTAAAAGTCCTTGCCAGTGCTCAGGGATACAAAATTACGCACAGACTCTTCATATGCCGGAAAAGCAGCGTCTTGCCAAGTGCCTCAGCTCAAGTATCTCCGAGCTGATTCCAGGGAGGCAGTTTAAGGGAAAACCCAGCCCCTGAGAGCATTCAGCCTATGAAGTAGCTAACCAAGGGGAAACCACTCCCTCTGTGACACAGAGCATGTTAGAATGAAAGGGAGGAAGCAAGACAGAAAGCCACAGACTAAACAGGAGCTAATTCAGCTTTCCATGTCTTGATACTCTGTACTTTCTCTGTACTTTCCCATTGGGAAGAAAGTGAAATGGCATAGAAAATGCCTGCTAGTTATCCCCCTTGTCATTTGTCATTTCTATTTACTGTCTCAACAAGCAACAAAGAATAAACTAGCTTAAGACTGTAATTAATATACGGTACTCAGATTACCAATAATGATTCTTTCTTTCTTTTTCTTGCTTTTTGTTCAAGAATGAGATTCAAGGCAACTTGCAATTAAAGAAGGAATAAACAAGTAAAGCATGAAAAAAGGCATACAAAATAAAAAAACACACATCAGTAATAAAACAAAATAGAAGAGTCAGTGTTCTGTAGTGGTTTAAGCTTTGGACTCTGATTTTAATTCCTGTTCGGACATGGAAACACACTAGGTGACAAAGTGTTGTCGAAGGCTTTCATGGCTGGAATCACTGGGTTGCTGTGAGTTTTTCAGGCTGTATGGCCATGTTTCAGAGGCAGAGAATGACTTTGGGACATGGCCATGTAGCCCAGAAACCTCACAGAAATGCATACTAGGTGACCTTGGACAAATCATACTTTCAGCTTGCAAGGGAGATATTGGCAACCCTTTCAAAACACATCTTGCCAAGAAAACCCCATAATACATCTACCTTAGTGTCACCATAAGTTGGAAATGACTTGAAGGCACACAACTACAACAACAAAATTTTAAAAAAGGACCTAGCCAGCCATAAAGCTCCAACTACAGCGATGCATTTATCTATTTATATATACATAAACATCACATGCTATGAAAAGAATGCTACCTGTGACTCACTTTTCCAATAAACTGTGGCAGGAGACAAATTTAACCATTGTGTCCCCCCATCTGTTTGCAGTGCCTCAAAAATCATACTGGAAAGTGACCGGAAATCACCTGCTCTTTCCATTCCTGTGAGGAGGTGGGTTGGTTAAGTAAGATATATTCTTGTAGGACTCAGGATAGCTTAAACATTTAAGACAGCTTCTCATTCAAGGAAGTCTGGGAGAGATTTTGAAGGGGTGACAATCTTTGCAGGAGCCAACAAGGTCTTGGGCCACAAATGTTGAGGACTGCATATGATTCACTGGTTTCCCCCATCCCTGCCTTGCAACAAAACAACCTGAACAGCATTTTTAGGAAGCATCCAAATATAGGTGGGAACAAAGTTTCAATTACTGTGTGGACTAGGACTACAAGAAATCCAGAAATATGGCTGGAATTCAGTTAGGTCTCTACATTTGTCAAACTAAATAGTTGTGCAAGGGATTGGCCTTTTTTACCAGTCTCTGAGATCCTAAATTTAGTACAAGGCAACTTGGAATTAAAGAAGAAATAAACAAGTAAAGCATGAAAAAGGCATATAAATTTTTAAAAAAAAACACATCAGTAATAAAAAAAATAGAAGAGTCAGTGTTCTGTAGTTTTTTCTAGCATTGGACTCTGATTTGAATTTTGTACGTCCCTGGTTTTGGTAATAGTCTATTATGGTATTTCTGGAAAGATACATCACATTCTCCCTGCAGTCTGACCACCACAGTTTCCTTCACAACACTTCTGAGTTATGAAAACAGTGTTTTATGCTATCCCAGCTAAGGATGGAAACCTGGTTTGTTTGCACAGAGAACAGAATTTTATGGACAGGAAATTTTATCTTTGCAGAAAATGCTGAATATTGAGGTTTTCGTGCAAAATTGTCACATAGCTGATGTGCACAGACAAAATAACTTTCTGCACAGTAAAATCTATTTTATATATGGAAAGTGATGTTTTCTGATCAAAACAACCACATATAAATTTTGTGGGAAGGGGGAAGACCCAAAATTGCAAACAAACATAATTTTGAAGACTTTTTTGCAGTACAAAGAAATTGCTGATATTACTCATTATTTCCTTCAAGATGACAAAATCTTAATCTGTGTTTTGGTTGAATTATAAAGGATGATCATAATTCCTATGTCACTTATAAATGACAAAAAGGAATATAGGCAACAATTTTCGTACACACCAAATCTCACTTGCTCCAAAAATAATATTAAAGAGAATGCATACAGCTTATGATTAATCTTTTTTTTTTTGTCTCCCACATTGCGATTTACTTTGTTGCAAATTCGGAATGATATTGACATCCCACTTTTCCCCCAAAAGCTGGGCCCCAGACACTTTACAAGATTCGTAATGACCACAGACAGTAAGTTATAACATTCAAATAAGAGTTAAGCAAATGAAAAAAATAATATATTGTAATTTCAGAATACATTTTTGAAATAATGTGTTTTTAAAAACACATTATTAATAGCACCCACTTGCCTTACAACAGGCTGTGGATAACCCCACTGAATAAAACCTACTGAATTAAAAAGTCTTTGCTCGCTGGCACAAGGTCAGTAATATTAATTCTCCTTTAAAGCCATTTTCTAAGCTTCATTGTAGATTGGAGGCGGAGGTGTAGAGTTCAAACACAACACAGAAAAGTGGAATAGCTGATAATAGTTAACATTATTATACTTACTAAATAAAGCTTCTGGCCCATTAAATTTCTTGATGTGACAGGAGAAAAGGAACTCTGATCAGTTACATTGAGACAAGCAGGGGGCAGAAAGAGAAATGATGACTGCCTCATCTCTTACTGAAGTACAACATTTAAAGGTGTAAGAATATTCTCCTGCTTTTGATTATATTACAGTACCTGTAGGACCAATACCTATTTGCCTATCTTCATCCAACAAAGTACTCGCTAAGAATTTTCAAGGTTCTCCAGCGTGACTCTATAACAAAAATCTTTCTTTTCAGTAGAGATCACTATCCATTGTTTCCTAATTTTCTTGGGAAATTCAGGAATGTGTCCCCTGCAGATATGGGAGTTTTACTTCATTTCCTTTTTAAAATAGTTACTATTCTTAGGATCATGAGTCATTCTTGGGTTTGGGGGGGGGGGGTTGGCAAAGAGTGGTTTCCTTCAAATGTAACAAATTTGGTTGAATTTCTGTAATGCAGTACATAATGTATATGTTCTTTAGGCAGAACTACATCGTTTCTCAACTCTCAACCCACCTTGATCTATTTACTCACTAGTACACACTACCCGCCCCACTGCCATTTGGCAGCTGGTGGAGAGTAGGGAAGATTAGAGAAAGATCTGGCCATTTTCCCATAGTCAAACATAAACTGATGATATCTGAAAAGAATTATGTAAACATTCTGTTTCTTTTTTTATTCACCACTCAGTAGTCATGGTAATTCGGGGGAAGAGGTTGGTTGTTGCAGGGTCTGAAGAAAATGCAGTAGGCCCTTGGTATCTGCTGAAATTTGATTCCGGGATTCCCTATTGATACCAAGATCAATTGATGACCAAGTTTCATTATATACAACAGTTTAGCACATTGGTGTGCTAACATTGCAAACAACTCCAATGAGTGCCAGAAAGAACCTGAATCTACAGCAGGAAATGCCTACACAGCATATTGCTCAATGCAAGGAAAAATCATGGCTTGATTTTTTGGATTTTCTCATTTAAATATTTTTGTACCATGGTTCACAAAACCATGTAAACACCAAACCATTGACTACGGTGGGCCGACTGTACCAATCTCTGGAATGACCACAGAATACATAGGTAGACATGTGTTGGATTGTGTTGGTATTCTATGACTTCAAGTTGTTTCTGAGTAATGACCCTTTTTTCTTTAGTTATATTTATTCCTAAATATTTAATTGTGTCTTTAATTTTAATTTTCCCCTCCTGTTTTATATTTTTTATCTCTTCTTCTCGATAATTAAATATAATTTCTGATTTGTTCCAATTAATTTGTAACCCTGTTATTATTCCAAATTCTGTTAAATGAGCCTCAATTTTCTCCCATTGTTTTATTGGATGCTCCATTGATAAAAGGGTGTCATCTACAAACAAATTTATTTTATATTTCTCTTTTATTCTTATTCCTTTTATACTACTGTAGTCTCTAATTACATTAGCTAATAGTTCCATTACAATTGCAAATAAAATTGGGGAAAGAGGACATCCCTGCCACGTGCCTCATGTTATATCTGTTTCCCCTGTTAAACCACCATTCACCATTACTTAGGCATAAGTGTTTGAATATAATTTATCAATTAGGTTTCTGAGTTATGACTCTAAGGCAAACCTATCATGGAGTTTCCCTTGGAGGCTTGCCAAGGCCATTGCCTTCCTCTGAAACTGAGAAAGTGTGACTTGCCTGAGGTCATCCATTGGATTTTTATATATCTAATCCAACACACACACACACCTCTATACCATGCTGGCTCTCATGCTGGACCAACAGTTACATATAATCATTCACAGTAAGCTAAATATCATTCCCTACAATGAGCTTAGAATGACTTTCTTCCTTGTCATTTCACTCTCAGAACAATCATGCAAGGTGGTTGTTATGAAAAGAGGCTGAAAAGAGAAATGAGCCAGTAAGTCTCATGGCTCAGCAGTGCCTAACATAATGTTTAGTATACTCTACTACTCTAATGTGAGTCCAGCAAAACAGGATCTATCCTCTTGAGTTTTCTATTGTGCATAAAAGTATATGTAGATACACTAGGCGTCTAGAGGAAATAAGGGAACAGAGCTCTGTGTCTTCAATAATTCTGAAGAAAAGGGAAATTAAGCAGGGCTTGCAAGTCAACATTAAGCAACAAGGCTTAATACTTCCAGCAATCACAGCTTTAATCTAACTAAATCTTTGTCTATGAGAGTTTATGCTACCAATTTCATTCTCTCAGTAAGTCTCTAAGGTATGACAAGATCCCTTTGCATACTAACACAGCTATATTGGATGGTCATGTGTGAGATTATCAGACCATAGTTGGAAAATCCTTGGTTGGCAATTGAACAGAGCTCAG